GCTCGCCCAGTGCCCCCTCCGCCCCGACCACTTTATTTCGGCACCGCAGCCCCTCCCTGCTCCGCCCCTTCCCGGACACCGTCTCAGCGCCCCCACGGTTCCAGCGCCCGTCCAGTGCCCCGCGGCCCCAGTGCCCGGCCAATGTCTTTCCTGCCCCGGTGCGCCCCTTTCGCACCTCCCCCCCAGTGTTCCCCGCGGCCTCAGCGGCCGCGGCTCCAGCGCTCGCCCAGTGCCCCCTCCGCCCCGACCATTTTATTTCGGCGCCGCACCCCTCCTCCCCGCTCCGCCTCCTCCCCCGCGCCGTCTCAGCGCCCCCCTCGCGGTTCCAGCGCCCGCCCAGTGACTCCCATTCCGCCCCGACCATTTTATTTCGGCACGCACCCACGCCACACCCGCTCACGCCTCCTCCCCCGCGCCGTCTCAGCCCCCCCCACGCGTTCAGCGCCCGCCCAGTGCCCCCTCCGCCCTCCCTGCCCGTGCCCTCTTACCTCCCGCGCCGCCGCCGACGCCGTCGCCGCCGTCGCCGGCCCTCTCACCACCCCCGCTCAGCCCTGCCCCTTTCGCCCTCCCTACCCGTCCCCTCTCTCTTCCCGCGACGCCGCCGATGCCGTCGCCGCCGTCGCCACCGACGCCGCCGCCGTCGTCGCCGTCGTCGTCGCCGCCGCCGCCCCGGGCCGAAAGTCTGGTCTGTGGGGGAGGCCCCCATTCAAGTGGCGCATAGCCGGCCCCCGAGAATACACCCGACAGACTCTGCGTGCAAAGCGACTGCCTTGGACAAGCGTTCGCAACACAAGGCCGCCGCGCACTTTGCACCGCGAGCCCCCAGCAGCTGAGTCCGCTCAGTAATTTCTTCCAGCCCTCCTTGGACCCTGGAGGCCTCCCCTTGGAACCCTCTGTAGGCTTCTCGGGCGTCAGTTGGAGGCTTCCTGGGAACCCGTCAAAGGTCTTTGAAGCCATCTTGCGGGGGACGGCCCTTGGAGTCTCCTCGCGCTCGCCCTCTGGAGCCCCTCTTGCGGCCCTGTTTTGTTCACTCCTTCTGCGATGTCTGGCGTCCTCTCCCCCCCCCCCCTCCTCCTCCGCATCCTCCTCCTCCCCCTTCCTTTTTGTGCAAGAGCCATGGCGCACGTGCCACTTGTTTCCGCGCTTCCGCTCGTTCCGAATCGTGCTCCCGCTGCAGCGCTGGCGTCACTATTTCCAGCGCCATGCCACGGCATGGTTTTCGGTCCTTCGAAATAGGCGTCAAACTCTAAAACATCGCACCCCGAACAAAAAACATCGGAAGTGATTCCACATTCGGTGCCGATTCGTTGATTTTGGGGGCCGCAGAAGCCCCCCCCCACATCGGGGCTTCGCCACGCCATGCTATGTCAAGCTACGCGTCCTCCAAATCGCTTTCCCGCTGCAGCGCTGGCCTCATTTCCGTGGTTCCGCTCGTTCCGAATCGTGCTCCCGCTGCAACACTGGCGTCATCATTTCCAGAGCCATGCCACGGCATGGTTGTCGGTTCTTCCAAGCTGGCCCCCCAAATCTAAAACATTGCCCCCCGAAACAACCATCAGAAGTGATTCCACATTCGGTGCCGATTAGTTTATTTTTTGGACCGCGGAAGACCTCTCTCTCCACTTTGGGGCGTCGCCACGCCATGCTATGTCAGGCTACGCGTTGATATTCAACACCATGCTATGCCATGTAATGCTATGCCCTGCCATCCGACTGTGCGAATAGAGAGGACATCTACGCCATGGTAAGGGATGGGAGGGACGGGTAGGACGTCAGATATGAAGCGAGCGCGCCTAGGTTATGCAAGCGCGCCCCACTACTCGCAAAGTCACTACTCGCAAATGACCTGGATCAGCCGCGGAGGATTTACGATAAATTGCATCGAGGCGAACGCGTGTGTTTTCGGACGTTTGCGAGTAGGCACTTTGCGAGTAGTGGGACGCGCCCGGTTTGTCCCTCCCCCCTCTCCCCTCTCCTCTCCCCTTCCCCCCTGCCCCCCTCGCCCGTCCCTCCCCTCCCTGCCCCCCTCTCCCTCACCCTCCCTCCCCTCCCTCCCCCCTCGCCCTTCCCTCCACTTCCCCCCTTTCCACCTCGCCCGCCCCCTCCCCTCCCCCCCCCCAAGCTGCCGCTCTGGGGCAACCTCTCGGGTTGGCCCCGCGGCCGCTCGGCAGGCGACCTCCCCGGCGTTGGGCGCGGGCCGCGCCGTGCGGGCAGGGCGCGGGCCGCGGGCGTGCGAGGTGTGGGGCCGGAGGGGCCGCGTCTCTCTCTCTCTCTCTCTCTCTCTCTCTCTCTCTCTCTCTCTCTCTCTCTCTCTCTCTCTCTCTCGCTCGTGTTTGTTGTGTGTGTTGCTGTTCTCTCTCTCTCTCTCTCTCCTCTCTCTCTCTCTCTCTCTCTCTTTTTTTCTCCCTCTCTCTCTCTCTCACTCTCTCTCTCTCTCTCTCTCTCTCTCTCTCTCTCTCTCTCTCTCTCTCTCTCCCTCTCCCTCTCGGACTTTTAAAAAACGACCCAGCTGGAAAACGCCGATCCGACTTGACCCCGTGAGCGGTCCAGGGGCCACACGCGAGCCGCTTGTTCAAGGAAGCCAGACCATCGAGCCTGGCAGCCCGCCGTACTATTCCCTGACATCCGTCCTCGCCCGACGCAGCTTCCCCCGCCGCCGCCGTCGTCGTCCGCGTCGTTGTCGCCGTCGGCGATTTCAGTGCGTTCCCTGGAGCTTCAAGGATTCTTCGGGCCATCCGCCGCGCCTCGCGCAGAGCTGTCCGGGGAGCCCGGGAAGACTTTGGAAGGGGGCTCGGGGAACGCAAGGCAGCGTGTCGAAAGGAAGGGGGGGGGGGTCCTCACGCTATTTCAGCACCCTGACCAGACGGCACTTGGCATTCGAAAGCGCCCACATCGGGCACCCAGCTTGTCCTCCCCCCTCCCTCTCTCCCCCCCACCTCCATTCGCCTGCTCCAGCTGATTGACGTGAAACAGCTCGAATTTGCACTGGCCGTTTCTTCGAAGTGAAGCGTCAATGCGAATCAAAGTCGGCAAATTTTACGTCGATCGTCTCGACGTCCAGCGATGTCAGGCGATGGTTCCGTGCTGAGAGGCCCTCGTATGCCTCTTTGGTCTTGTGCTCGGTGCGCTCGCACCGCGAACTGAGCCAGTCGCATCAAGCATGCTTGCGGTGCTCCTGCCCCTCATCGCGTGGCGCAGGCGGCCGCAAGAATGAGACATAATGGTTGGTGCAACCGTCGACGTCGAAACCCAAGGGGCCCTCTGGCGAGTGGGCCCAAGGGCCACCCTCGCAGGTTGAACTGGTTGCGCAAATTACGATGGCCTTGGAGAACAAGTTCGATCAGAAGTTTAATGGGGCTCAAGGAGAAGGGGTCTGTCTCTACGGGGGGCCCTCCTGCTGCTGCTGCCCCTGATGATGGGAATGAGGCTTCTGTTGCCCCTCTCAATGCTGCCCGCGCCGAGTCTCTCGACAACGCACTCAAACAATTGCAGAATGTTGAGGACTTAGATCCTGCCAAGAAATGCTTGCTTGAACTATTGCGGGATGCTCGGAAAGAGGTTCGCGAGCAGAAGCCAGTTCTCCAACAGCATGCGACCGTTGCATGTCGGCTCTAGACTGCTCAGAAGAAGTGTTATAAAGCTCGCGAAGCAATTGAGGCTCAGAAGAGAGCTATTGCTGAGGCTCAGGCAGCTCCGGTCGAGCTACAGGAGAAGGAGGCGGCACTACAAGGTGAGGCGACAACCCTTGGTGAAGAGTTACGCCGCAAAATGCCTGGTATGCTGTCCCCCATCGGCCACGATCGATCTCGCGATTGACCCCGACGTGCTTGAGGCGCGCCCTGAGATCAAGGAGTATGTGCAGAACCCACTGCTCAAGCAATTCAAGAAGCTGTGCGAGCAGTCCGCCACGCCACCACCTGTTCCTGCTACGCCGCCTATGGGGCCCACGGAGGCGTGGCCTGCTCCTGCTGCGCCATCTACCGGGCCCACGGAGGCGCGGACCAGTGATGATGACAACTAGATGGATATGACCAGACGGTCGGCGGAACATGTGGGTATGCTCTTCACGGCCACAAGAGACAATCGCGTCTTCCAGCGGTCTCAACCGAACAGCGGTGGAGCCTGATGAAAAACCAACCCAGAAACCTGGGTAACCGTGTCTACGTGTGTGGCCAGTGTCTTTTCAAGGCTTGGTCGTGCCACAGTGCAAAGGAAGTTTCGGGGTAAGTGTGGCGTCTTCGAGCTTGTTATCCATAGGAGTGGGCCTACGGCGTCAACGGCGACTTCGAGGTCCCAGCGATTCTCTGCCCCTGGTGGTGGGCCTATGGCGTCGACGGCGGCTTCGGGGTCCCGAATGTTCCCTGCCCCGGTAGGCCTACGGCGCCTTCGACGGCTTCGGGGTCCCAAATGTTCTCTGCCCCTGGCGGTTGGCCTGCGGCGTCGTCGGCGGCTTCGGGGTCCCGGACCTCTCTCTGCCCCTGGCGGTGGGCTCACGGCGTCGTCGGCAGCTTCGGGTTCCCGGACTCTCTCCTGCCCCAAGGGGTGGGCCTGCTGCGTCTTCGACGGCTCCGGGGTCCCAGATGTTCTCTGCCCGTGGGAGTGGGCCTGCGGCGTCGACGGCGACTTCAGGGTCTCAGAATCTCTCTGCCCTTGGTGGTGGGCCTACGGCGACGTCGGCGGCTTCGGGGCCCCAGATGTTATCTGCCCCTGGTGATGGGCCCTACGGCGTCGGCAACGCTTCCGGCGTCCCAGAGTCTCTCTGCCCCTGGGGGTGGGCCACAGCAGTTCTTCGAGTCTTTCAGTAGGAACTGTCGCGCCACGCTGTTGGATAGGTTACGTGTCACTGATGCTCTTATCGTTTGTGCTCAGGAGGTCGG